ATTAAGATTAACTTATGATTAACTTATGAGCTTTTTCCATTTCCCATGTTTATTTGCCATAAAGGTCACGGTTCTTGTTATGTGGTGGGAAAGTGACACACGAGAATCACGAGAACTACAACAGTTCCCGGTCGAGAAGGCCGAGGAACTCGGAATCAGAAACTAGGGGGCTCATTTATAAAGGCATTCGTAAAAAACATTTATACGAAGATTCTGGGATTTCTAAAGAGATAACAAAAATAAAACATATCCTGAAAAAGTTCGCACATTTACAAATGGTCCAGAGCAGTCATACGAATGTTTTGGAGGAAACGGAAAAAGCGACATCTAGAGTTCAGATAGAAATGTGGATATAAGTTGCATGTACGGTTAGTATTGACGCTTTGTGAAATACGTGTTAATCAATACAGAAACATTTTTTATTATATCTGATATCCAACCAGGCCTAACATTGAGCATTGTTTTATTTTTTAATGAAAGACTTTATATATACCGATATATTTATTGTGTGGAATCTCAGTTAGAGGTGTGCATACTGAAAAATCAAAGAAGGCACCAAAACCTGTGCACCCACCTGTCTAAAAACATATAAAAAGGTACAAAAACACCCGTGTGTAAGTATGTAAGAAGCAGCATCATCGTGGCACATTTAGCTTTGTTAGAGAAGGTTAGCACAGACACATACTAAGGAAGCCAGTATTTATGAGATCACAGTGATTGTTTTTCCTATGATGATTTGTGGCTTAGCCGTTTCAGACTGCCAAGAGCGATTCTGATGGAAGTGTGTGATGAATCAGCCCAGCTTAAGACCGACCTACATTACGAAATCACGCTGCTCCCGTCCATATTCAAATACTGACAACACTTGGATTTTTGGCGACAGGAACAAACCAACAGGAACTAGCTGAGAGATCAGGGATTTCCCAGCCCATTATCCCTCAAATAGTTTTTTATGTCATTGTCCGGTTAGTTGAGCTGACTGCACTATACTATAAACTATAAATTTTGCACTTCATATTCTGAGAAATTCCTTTTTTCATTTTGTTTGTGGCTCCATTGTAACAAACGTAGAATATGTGCATTTATATACAGTATACACGTGGCTAATTTGCATTGCCGATTTAAGGTAATTAGTGGCTCGGAATGGGACATTCTCTTAAGCGTGGACACACAGGCCTAAGACTTGTGGGATTCATAATCTGTACAAGCCATATCACAGTTTGTGCAAGGTTTTATAAATCTGACTTTTATTGTTCACATGAACATCGAGTTTTCGTACGAGGATTTCCTCTCCAGCAAGAACAAGGAAACATTTTTATATATATAAAAATGAGCCTGTAGGGTCCTGGACTTCGGTGGGAACACGCCTGTTGTGTTGTTGTGTAGACCCACATAATGTTGAAATGGATTTAATATAAATGCCTGTTTGCTCTCTTGGCTTTAGTATAGATGTTTAGGCCTGCTTTCTGTCAGAAGTGGGCCTGCATCCACCTTCAATAAATAGGCCTTCAATAAATAGGCCTAAATACGTTTAATCAGTGATATGAAAATGAGTGGAAATGACCTTTCAGGTCGGTGTCATGGTGCCCTTACCCCTATCGCTCCTGCTTGTGTATTTAAGATGAATGACAAGGCGACTTTTCTGTCCCAAGCTAGAAATGAGACAACCAAGATCAAGTCAGAGACCATAATTACCGAAACACACTGACTGGCGTGGATCATCTGTGGTAAAGCTTTGGAAATTCTCCCTCCTAAACCGACAGTGTTTTTTGTGTTTCAGGTAGGACACTTTCATCCATTTTGCTTAAACAGTCCGCAACCGTTCATGCGCAGAATGCTGGTTAATTGGTTTAATTTGTAGCATCAAGCAGAAACTCACTGTTTTCTCTGCTTACTGGTTATCTGGCTATTTATAAAGATGTAACATGAAATGAAACCATTGTGTCATCAGTAATTATAGGAATCTGACACATTTTAGTTCTTCTGGGGTTGTATTTTCTGTCATTATTTGTCAATGTGCGAAAGTGAAGAAAGAAATATGAGGAGTATTACTCCGCATAATACATGCAATTACATTTGGTATTTACAGTTATCTTAATAGAGTAGAAAAGTCGGGACAATTAAGTCCCTTTACATACTGATGGTTATTATTTGCTCAATGAAAAAACAAGTCAGTAGATAGAGTTCTGACTCTTAAGATGACAGGTGCTGCCTTGATACATAGACTTAGCTGCATCACAAAATTGCCCGACCGTATAGCAAACATAAAATGAAACAGACAGAAAATAGACACTTTTAATGGAGTTATTAAAATTGTTTACGCCAAATTCATAAGGCGCCATCACTATCGTTACTACTAGTAGTTCAAAACGAGCCGGTAAACTTATGGCTGTAATGTCTTCAGAAGTATCATGACCTCGTACTGTTTCACGCCAGCCAACCATCCATCCGCTTTCCAAACGCGCTGACACACACACAGATCATGCCGAAGTTAGACCACGCAGTCAGGCAGAAGCGCCCCGCCTCGTACGGCGGAGTGTGGCCGAGGTGGGGAGATGCTCTCCCGGATCACGCGATGGTGCGGACCACGATTCCCTGGGAACTGACGTGTCGCTAGCCTGCGGGGGGGGGTTGTGTTGTGAGAAAACAACGTGTCATTTACGCAATGCTTTGTTTCTAGTAATCCCTATGGGTGTTATGAATAATAATTTTAGTCATATTACATGCACCTTCACACGGGGCTAACTGATGACATGATTTAAGAGGGTTTTTCGTTTTCGTCATTTGGGCGTGTCCTGTCGTAATCCTTTTTTTTGCAAATCGCCTGCGTATATTTTGAAATAGCCTTGTTCGTCATGAAATATAAAAATATCACTGTACATTATGCTGTGCTTGAGAACACTGATGACATTGGCCAAAATAAACACAATGAATATCACAAAAAATATCAGGTATTTGTAAATATTTATATGTAATGGTGCTTTTTTAACTTTATTTTTGCTGTCACTTTGCATGCATGATTTTTCAATCCCTTGCTTTGATTTGATTGTAGTTCAGTAATCAAATTTCAGAAGAAACAGTAAAAATGTATATTATTACTATTTCATTGAAAATGTTTCTGTTATTTCAAACCTCTGTGGAGACTGACTTTGGACCACTACAGACTTATGATGTGAAAATTTTTCCATAAACAAAAACCAGTGCAGTAACAGGGACACTTCGGTGTAATAATGTCCTTCAGAAAAGATGTAAAACTGAGGTCCTGGCTCTCTGAGGTCATAAAAGATCCCTGAGCATCTTTCAAAAGAGTAGGGGTGGTACCCCGATGACCTGGCTAAAACTGTCCACTGTGTCCTTATTAAATCTGGCCTCCTAATCATCCCCTGTATCTCACTGGTGAATTTTCTCCTTCCCCGTCACCACCTCAGCTACTGTATGGTGAGCGCACTGGTGCAGAATGGCTGCTGTCGCATCATCCAGGTGGGGGCTACACAGTGGTGGTGGTTGTGACCTTCATGATGGTAGAAGTGGTTCCCCATTGGTTCTGTAAAACACTTTGGGTGTTAGAAAAAGAACTATATAAATGTAACTTTCATTCATTCACATCTGTGACTGTTGCTCTAAAAATGTATAAAGCAGAAGAACACTGAGTAAAGACTTGATTTGACTAGACAATTGTGCATGGAAATGTTTAAGGACTAAAGACATCAACTAAGCTTTATCTATCCACGCATACATCATTTTACCTGCCAGGGGCCTGGATCCCATCCCAGGCAGCAAAGGGCACAAGGAATAGAGCCCATACACACATAAGCTGGGTACACACCAAGTCAATTGCAAAAGGCGATCGTCAACCAAGGCCAGCAAATGATTGGCGCCCATCGATTGTGGAAACTTGCGCTGGAACACAGCAGCATGACTAGAGGTAATGGACGACGTACATCCCTCAGAGAGAAAAGCTTCACAAACTAGATTCGACGTCGATTCAACATACTCAGTTGGGCAAAACGGCGTCAACGGGTACTAGCTCTATCCAACCGTGCTGCACACACCAGCCCAATAGGCAGACACACCGACAGCCGGGCAGCAAAAAATCGACTTGGCATTCCGGGTCAAACACATTGCAGGCAGTTTAGGGAAACCAGCCAATCTGACTGCATGTCTCTGGAGTCTGGACTATGGGAGGAAGCCTTAGCCCAGTGGAGACCCACTCAACAGGGAGAGAATATGCAAACTCATACGGTGGCTGGAGCCTTCAACCGCCAACCCTGGAGAAGTGAGGCATCAGTGCTACTGATTACTGCAGATGTCTGCAATTTAAAAATTCCTATTTAGCAGACACTAGTATTGCAAGCAACTAGTATTCACCTGCTTGTATAGCTGGTTATTCACCTGAAATTCAGGTTCAATCCCTTGTTGAAACATTCAACATAAGGACTCAACTAGTAGGCTATGCCTTATACCGTGCTACAACGCAATCCCATTCCCAGTTACTTATCCAGACTACTCTGCCTAAAATAATATATTTTATGCAATAGTACTGTGATTTATTATGAGATGTCCATCTGACTGGAACTGATTATAAAAAATGATAAAATGCCATATGAGGATTATGTATAAGGTCATGCGATGGGTAGATAACTGCTAGCCTTTGTTTTATTCAATTAAGACAGCATTGTAGTCGATGATCCGACACGGGGATGAGCAGCTCGGTTTTGTCCTGTAGTAACCTCGCAGCATCCGCATTGGTCAGGATATGCTGATGTGAGGGCTGCACGACATCCTCATGGGAGACGAGGGGCTGTTCAGTCAAGTGGAGTGTCTTCCTCGCCACCTGTTCTCTATTGGCTGCAGAGCATGACCAAATTTGGGAGGGCTGCCTTGTGGTCTGACGCTTGCTAGCCAATGAGGACCCCCCTTTTTTTCGTATGTAACGTTGCAGGAATCTGTCTGGGTGTAGGGGGGGCGTGGCCACAGGAGGACCGGAGGAGGGCGTGGCCATAAAGCGGAGCGGGGGGGGGACAAGCCGGTATTTCAAATCCGAAGTGTCAGGTACGGATTTAACATCCGAGTGGCCCGCTGTTAGTGAAAACGGAGAGAATACTCTAGAAGGCGGGGGACTTCAGGAAAGGGCTCGACGAGGAAGCCATCGAGATTCTAGAGACCGTCAGCAGACCCGGATTTGAGGATGCACCGTAAGTCTGTTACTTTGTTAAGCAAAAACTGGAATAATGTCGCCGAATCATTGACAGACTGAGAATGAATCACCGTTTCAAACGTAAATCTGTTTATCGCGCCTGGTTTTCTGGTTGCTTTTAGACCCGGCGCCTTGCGGCATTGTGCCTCCGGAAGAGGATGCTCACATACCCCCCTGCGTGTATTAATGCCGCGTATTCCAAGTTATTCGTGTGAAATAAGGAGCGTGAAACCACGGGAAATATATTTGATATCATGCGTTGGTCGTAGTATCACTGGGGGCGGGTTGAATCCGCGGCGGAGGCGATCGCTCCGGACGGGATGCGTGGCGTGTGTTTAAAATGCCGGGGTGTGGCGCCAGGAAGCGGCGTTCACCGGCTGCAGACGTGTCCCCAGAGCGGGCATGTGCTCGGGATGGCCGTCTCATTGCTGAATCGGAACATCGGGGGGATCAAACGTGTCTCATCGTTTAGATTCACTTTCACAAATGCGGTATTTAGAAGCTGTAGAGCATCGCCACATGCGAGCCGCGAAATGCACGGGGCGTGGCCTTCAGCTTTAATGCACGGTTTTTTATTAACCACGCTGCCGCATCGTTGAGTATGTCAGCATATTTGTCCAGGGTTTGTGCCTGGCAGACCAACATCATTAAGTGGGAAGCGGTATCCATGCACGTAATGAGGCACTCCTCTCCTCAACACGGGGGGAGCTCACAGCGATCAGCCGCTCAGGGATGCTGCGATCAGGATCGGGGGCTCCAGTGTTACAATGGCAATAAAGTTAAATGCCTAGCCCAAGGAATGGGTGGAGGGAAAGATAGGCAAGCTAGAATAACGTGTTCTCTTAATGTATGACAGGGATATTAACTGACTACATTATTTATGTTTAGAGGGAGCGGCAAGACCGCCAGATCACTGGGGTAATTTTTTTATTTGTTCTGCCTGCTCCTCCTCCTCAATGATTTACATATAATGCGTTTTTCATTACAACTGGTAACCCAGACTGAAATTCAGACACCACCTGTGTCTCTTATAGCGGGAGGTCTTTGTTTTTTATGATTCTTTTAAAGTTTTTTTCATTGTAGTGTGTTGCCTGGTCTCCACCCAGCATCACTGAAATCGAAAGTACCATTCTGAGCCGAGACTGTTTCCTGTAAGCCTGTCAGCTTACAGCACAAGAAACACCCTTGGCCTCCTGAATCAGTGCAGGAGGGTGGTGATATAGCAGATCTGGGAGGGCATTTTCAGCTGCTGGGGGGGCATTTCACTGTTTCAGGAATAGCCGTAATGCTGGGTCGCATGAGTTTTTCTATATTTCCACACCTGACGCAGCTGCAATCTGAGCACTCCATGCATATGCAGTCTGGGCCGGCACGCTAAATGAGGTCACCCCCCCACAGACCCAGCAAGCACCCCCCCCTCCCACAGCTCCTGGCCCGCATCCTGGGATATTCCCACATTTTAACATTCCGCACAGTTTGCAAAAGTGGGGGGGGGGTGGCTGAATCAATATCTGAACGGCCATCTGGGGAATGCTGTTGTTTTCGGAGGGTGGGGGCAGGGCATGAAGGGACGTGTCACACAAGGGCTGGAACAGAGTGCTTTCTGGGAGATAAACAGCTTCATGGTGGCAAGGTGAAGAACCATTCGTGGGGGGGGGACAGTTTGCGTCAAAGAAGGCTGCACGTATCTCTGAGGCGATCCTGCCTGCTGAGTTTGGGGGTGTCACACCGGGTAGTACATGCTGTCATCAGAAGATGAGGACTGATGACGGCGAGGGGTCGCGCTGAGCGGTGAGGATGTTCCGTGACCCCCCTCGCGGACATGCCATGCCTCCCGCTGTTTCCATGATATCCAGTGAGGACCTTTGTCCCGTCTGTCCACATGCCAAATATCTGCAGGTCACTTGACACCGGTGTTAAAAGCCAGCGACGCGATGTATGTAATCTGGCAGCAGCGCCCCTCGGTGTAAGAAGGTCCCCCCCCCCCTTCTTCTGCCCGCACAGCCAGGGCCGTCGGATCTTAATAACCTCTCGGTGCTCAGCCACTCAGATCCTGACACAAGCCTGTCTCTTCTATCTGTGAGATTCTTACCTCGGGGTGATGTACTGTTAAGCTCTCTTATCAAAATGCGATAAACAAGCAGAGCATCTTGTTTTGCACAGTCTTGCAGCCTCTAATATGTTTTCCCTAGTGATGCCTGTTCTCCGTTTAAACCCAGGCAGCTTCCACGTAGCCCAGAGCCCCCTGCGGAGTTCTCGCTGTGTGATTCAAGCTTCAATGGATTTTTTTTCCCCCATTCTGAATGAATGAGGCAAATACCCAGCGCTAAGCGTGTAGCATAAGTGTGACGGAGCCCCGGAGCGCCTCTGGAAGCTGTGTAGGCCCATTGTCTGCCTGGGGTGGCAGGCTGGTCGCCGTGGCAGGTGGCTGCGTGGCCAGTGACTGGGCCTGTGTGCTCCTCCGCAGAGGCCAGCCTGCGCCCGACTTGGCTGCCCTTTCCTCTGTAAACGTCTTTGTGTCCCGGTCGCCCCCGGGGCTGTCCGAGCCCCCTCCGCCGCCGCTCGCGTGCCTGGCAGCACTGCTGACGTATGTAATGTTTGTACCCCACCCACATCTCCGCAGTGACCGAGGTTGAGACCCCCGACATGTCGGCCGCCGCAGTGATGCCCTCCCCCGTGGAGCCGGAAGCCCGCAGCACTGATGACAACATCGTGTCTCTGGATGACATCACCATGGAGGCTAAGTAAGTGCTTACTGTCCCCCCCCCCCACCTATGAAATTTTACACCAGTTAACTATTCACTGAATCACAATGATTTTAGCTACCTAATAATCAGGAAGGTAAAAAAAATTAAGTAAAAAGCAATAGTTGTTTGGGAGTAAACCTGGATCTTTGCTAATCTGAGTTAATGCCTCTCACAGCTGCTCTCACAGCTGTAACCAGTTGTTGGCCAGTTTCTAACTGGAATGCAGTGGATGTTCGTGAGGGGTGGGGGGGTGGGGAATGATCCAGGCTTTGTTATGTGGTACTGAAGGGTCAGAACAATGTGTACGACACAGGCAGTGGATCCTGAACAGATGGCAGATGACAGATGTGGCTGACAGAGGGTCATCACTGTCATTGTCTGTTATTCCTTCAGTGAGTCATCAGAGGAGGAGGTGCTCTGTGAGATGGAAGTGAAAACGGGGGCTCTGGCCAGTATCAACCCCTCACCCCACATGACCAGGCTAGAAGAAGTACAGACACAGCAAGGTGAGCTTTTGTTATGATTATAATTACTGTTGTATGGCACATTTCAAAAGTCAGTGTCTCAACATTCTTTGTGTTAAACATAAAAAAAATGTTTTTTTAGGGGTTTCCCATTGAAGTTTACAGGGGCTACAGAAACAGTTGACGCAAAATGTGGCCCAAAAGCACCCAGATTTTCCACATTTTACAGGAAATGTAGCCAGGAGGGGGGCCGCCAATTACAGCAGCCTGGACAGGCTTCCTGATCCCCCGGCCCCCCCCGCCACTATGTTCAAACGCCCTTCACTTCCCAAGCACGAGTCAGCAGAAACCCATTTTCCCTCCCCCACGCTGACGGACACATATTTTTATATCTGGGAGACGTGGAGCTTTTCTGTAGGTCCATCCGTCGCTTTGAGATTGTAAAGTAAGCTTTATTTGGTTAGAAGGACGACAGACGGGCTGGAGAGCTTTAAAAAGTACAGCCTGCTGGAGTGAGACTCACCCCTTCTGGATACATCAAAGAAAGAGAAAGAGAAAATAAAGAAGTAAAAGTGTTTTTGATAGATTCTGCACTACATCGATAACAGGCTTATAACGATGGGAGAAGTGAGTTTGTTTGTTTTACTGCTAGATCACAAACTGCAGCTGGAGATAAGTCCATGGCTTATTTCATAGCATTATTATTATTATTATTATTATTATTATTATTAATAATAATAATTATTATTATTCCATCATCATGCCCCACAATATTTTACCGGGGTTTTCGCTACTCAGAGTCTTGGCACTGGAAATTTTAGCCATTTGTTTAACAAACAGGAAATGAACAGACAGGAAGCGGACAGGGAATAACAGGAGCCGGTTATGTAAATGTAACGCATCTGATGTTCCGTCACCCGCGATGGTCTTTTAAGAGCAGCGTGCGCCGCTGACCCTGTAAGGTGCACGCGGGGATAGTTCGCGCGTATCTGCACGCGGGGACCGTTCGCACGTATCTTGTCAGTCCGAGCGCGCCGTGACCGCTGTGAAATTTCCACCGCGCAGATGAACTTTGTTCTATTGACAGTAAATAGGAGCCGCGATCGAGTCAGCAGGCGGGTGACGTGAGCTGAATGCCAGGCTGGCGACGCGCCACGCTGGCGTCTCAGTGTCCGGGCGAGATGGGTCACTATTCCTGCTGCCTTTTCTATTCACTTTCTTTTTAACCAAAGTAATTTGTGACCTAGATTTAAACAGGCCTGTGACATCCTGCATGAAATCTTATTTCAGTTGATGGCAATTACTTGTAAATGAGCATGAAAACAAAATAAAAGTGATGCACATGGAATGCGAGGCTTTTGGATTGTGCATCACTGGATGTACACTGCTGATTTTAAAAAAAATTGAGAATAAAGGGGTTTTCAAACCTGGAAATAGAAGACAGCCCCCCCCCACCCCCTCCCCTATTCCTTTCTGTGTGTGAGCTAGCCCTGGGGGGGGCAGGATGGTTTCAGGTCTTCATATCCTGATACTCTTCCCGATTGTACTGACCTCCCACCACACGAGGGTGACATTGAGGGCGGGGCGCCCGGGGGCATGGGTGCTTTTTCGGGGGGGGGGGGGTTGGCCGTGCATCTGACTGCAGCAGCTGGCGAGAATGAGACTCCATAGATAAATGGGGCCTGCCAAATCCCCCCCACTCCCCCCGCACATGCTTCTGCTGCCCGTCACACGCTCCTCTAGCACAGGGTCCGGATGCCTGGAGCCCCCCCCCCCCAGAGTGATGAGTCCTGGCTGCCAACCCCCCCTCCCTCTATCTCTTCCAGATGGGTGGGGTTGTTTGGAAGTTATTTACGTGCTTAAAGTATAAAAGCGGGGTTAGCGGTGGGTGAGGGTGAAGGATCATCCCGTCACTCAGGCACATGGACCGTCAGGAGATCAGGGCTGGATCCACCCACTCAGTCGGCCGTCTCCCTCTCCCTCCCCCAGGCCACGTCCCGCGGCCGGACTCCCTGGACCTGGCCGCGTCCGAGTCGCAGCTGTGGACCTCCAGGGGCGACTGTGAGGTGAGGCTGAGGCTGGCGGAGTCGGGCCTGGCGGCAGAACCGCCCGTCACCGTGGACCAGATGTTCAGGAGGTCGGTGGAGAGGTTCGGCAAGCACACGGCGCTGGGCTGGAAGGAGGGCGAGCAGTGGAGGACGGCCAGCTACGAGGAGTACTACCGGCTGTGCCGCACGGCCGCCAAGAGCCTCCTCAAGGTGAGCTTCCAGCTGCAACACGTAGGGGGCGCAAGATGCAAAGTTATAGACACCCAACATGGATCCTAGAGGCCAGGCAGAGTCAGAGGACCTTCCTGATCTGTACTGTATTCACATTAACTTCATATTAGAACTGTGCAACACAAATATTGTCTCAACAAATACAAAGCATAACAAAATCAATATCCATCATGGTGCCGTACTTGTGTTCGCATTGACAGCTTCCATCTTCGCATTAGGACGGTCGCATGCATGTGTAGCTGCGCGGCTTCATCCGGCCCTTTCCGAATGTCGCTCGGGGGAAACAAACACAAACACACAAAGGTTCCTGCATACCGGACCGAAAGTCCCGTACCGAAAGTTTTCGGTAGAAATACGTGTACCGTCACACTCCTAATAAATAAATAAATGAATACATAAATGTGTATATATGTGTGTGTGTGTGTGTATTTGCAAAGGTATTTTACACACTTAAAAATTATCAAGATATTCTGGATTACAGAAGATCCTACATACACGTTTTTGCTGTACGTATATTTTTTGGGAACTCCTCTAGTGACTCTGGTAGTCCCCTTGATAATGTCAATCAGACAAAAACACATGAATATGTCGCTAAGTTTCTGAGTCTGGCCACCTGGCTGGTATCCTCACATGTGACTCTGGCGATCGGCACGGCGACCTCTTTGGTCCGAGTGACCTCGGCTGTGCTGATAGGCTCTCGCCTTGCGTAATAAGGGCATCTCCTTGAGAGACATATCGGTGACACTAGGTGATAAATGTCCTGACCACGCTGCATAATGTCACCCCTGGATCGTGCTGCTGCTCTTTCATCAGCTGGGATCAACAGCGATAAGCAAATTAAATAACACAAACCCCCCGAATGTTAGCTGAGTGCCACCCTATGACTGTGTTGTGTGAATGGCCAGACTTGGGAGCTGTTCGGTTGCTCAGTGGTGGTGTAATTATTGCGGAGCTGCCACAAGCCACTGCACCCTTAAATACCGGCTGCCAATATGTACACAGACGTCAGATGATTCTCTAACCTTGAAGCTGCTTTACAAATATGCCAGCACTTCCCAAAGCAAACATGGCACCGATAACCGTCCATCCACATGCCACTGCCCTTTAGGGAACCAGGCATTTTGATTGGTCATCACCATGGCCAGTGTAACTGAGACTGTGGGATGTGGTGGGCTGACTCTAGCTGGGGGTGGTGGGGGGG